AGAAATAGCCCTTCAATTTCTCAGGACTGGTGTCACTTTTGGAAATGGGTTTTATGCTAAAAGCTAGTTAGGTATTTTTAAATGCTATACCATATAATTAAAAAACTAAATATATATATATATATATATAAAAATAAATACTGCTGTGTGTAATTCTTCTCCCCGCTGTGGGTTTGTCAGAGCCACAAGGACAGCACTGTGGCTTGACAGCTCTTCTCCTAGCAACTCCTGTTAACATCAGAATTGCTTGGGCAGCTGCATCTCTGTACCCCACACAGAGTTTGCCMGTCAGTGTTCCTCATGTGTGTGGATTTCATTTGCCTACGTCTCTGGTTATTTGCACCAGCTCTACTTGGGTTTCCTGTCATCCTGTGACTGCTTTCAAAACAGCTTTAGGCTATTACTTGCTGAACATCTCTGCTGTAATTGTTTGCATTTGGAAAAAAAAAGATGAAGAGAGGGTCCCCGCTCCAAGGAGCCTATAATTAAAACAAGGCCAGCATTATAGAAATATATATGCTAGCTGGCCCATGACTGGATGGTCTGTTTAGTTTTGTTTTGACTTACTGTATGAAGCAGCATTTAACAGATGTTGGAAATAAACTCTCTGGGGTTCTTGTATGTATATAGAAGAGAAATGCTTGTGCATGAATTAATTTCTCCGGCAAATGTGGATATTAATGTCATCAGGCATTTTTTAATGTTTGTGCCTCTTTCACTGTACTTAGTGCACTTTCCTCTGCCAAAAGAGAGAACCTGCCAGAGGGACTGTGTTTTGACAGTGCTTTCTAGTGCAGGACAAATGACTCTTTCTCTAGCATAATAAAGTGTTGCATTATGTGAGCCTAAGAGAGGAAAATAAAAAAGAAATCCAGTTGCCAATTGCCTCATCCCCTTCCCTCCATATATACAGTTGACTGTCAAATAAAATGGGAGTCTGTCTTTCCCTCTGTGGCAAAGCATCCCTGTCACTGGAAGCAAGGCTATACCTGTCATGCAAATCCTATAGCTGGCATATTATGGCTGCTCCTATTCCTGCAGAAATAGCACACATCCAGCAAGGTGACAGGTCCTTTCACTGCTCTTGCCTGCAGAAATGCACTACTRCAGATTAGATTCTCTTTTATTGCTTCCAGGATGAGGCCAAATAGCATCAAGGGAGCTAGTAGGGAGTGCCTTGTCCTTCCATGCACTATATAGGGGTGAGGAGGGAGCAGATTAGGCTGAGAATGGAAGCCAGAGCTGGGACAAAGCCCAAAATGAAACAGAAATAGAGATTTTCTAATTTCCACTTGTATGGGATGMATTTTGCATTTCGTATCTTGCATATTTTTATTCCATTCCCCCCTTAGTTTAGTTTTCATGTATTACAAACTCCAAGCAACAGCTTGGTCTTGAAAGAGCCCCCCTCCCCCGGATTGGAACAGATGCACAATATTAACTAAGGGTGAATGGGCACAGATGTGATCAAAATCATTCTCTCACCTTTCAATTCCACCAATTTTTCCAGTGCTTAAATATTTTCTCCCACTTTTGTGTGGAATTTCCTATTGTAACATTCTGTGCATTTTGGGTTTTGTTTTTTTTTTTTTTTTTTTGCAGATGTCTTAGTTACTAATTCTCCTTATGGTCTCCGCCTGTGATCAGTGGCTGGGCCAAACAATTTCTCATGCCAATCCCTGACAGGAAAGCGGCCTCTGAAGATACTGATATGATTAGTGAGGGGCCAGGGACTTGCTAAGTCTCTGCTAAGTGCCAGCAGAGCACTTTATAACCATTGAAAATCAGAAACTTTTGGCCAGAAGACATAGCAGAAGAGAAGTGATGTGAAATATAAGTTAGGGGAGCATGCAAAAGAGAAGGAAAGTGAAAAGGCAGATGTAAAGCTGGATTTTCATTTTCTAGCATTACTTTTGTGTTAGCTAAACTATGAAGAAGATACTTTCTCTGCTGATTGTTTGAATTATCCGTCCCTCTTTTTGACTTTAATACTGTGCTGCTTATGTCTGTGCAATGTAATATATATGCAAGTTCTCTCTGTCCCTCAGACTTAGGAGAAGCTAAATTAGTAGAGCATTGAATCCGAACAAATTCCACRCTGTCTCTCAGCAAGGACTAATAGCTCAGGATCAGCTTTATGCTAACAGCTTTGAGCTGCCTRAAATGGAGGCAAAGTGACTTTTATCTGACCACAATGTACTTTGTGGACATCATCTTATTGGGTCTCATTTGGATGATGCATTAAAAGCTTTCATAATATATTATCTTACTTTTCATTGATATATCTCCAAGCGCTTTGCTAAGGAGGTGAGCATTGCTGTCCATATTTCACAGAGTGCAAAACTGTGACAAGTAGAATATAGTGCCTGCCCAGAGCTGCTCAATGGTCAGGTCTGGAGCACGGTTCAGTTCTCCATTACCTGATCCATTCAATCACACTGTGTCTCTATGTGGCAGTATTAGGACTATTTGGATTCCRAGCTGATACCCAATCCCATCATTTTTTATATTAAATCTTGTGTTTTACCAAAATATATCCATAGCGATCAAATTAGGAACATTGAAATGCACTCATACAGCCTGAGTGTGTCTAGTTTATTATATACAAAATCTAAGGAGAAGTGTGTGAATCATGTTGTGAAAACATGCAGAATTTTAATCTTTACAAGTTGGATTAAGTATCTATAAAATACATGCATCATTTGCCAAATACGCCAGGTTTTGTTTCTTTATATAGAAAATGAAGGAGAATGTTATGTTTGCCTCCAATTATGTTTTGGTTACTACAAATTAATATTCTGATTAATTTTAATAAATTGTATACAGTGTTACATCTTTTTCTATCTTTTTTTGCTTAACTTAGTTTTATTTTTGAGAAACGGGATAAAGTATTACACACATTTCCTACTCSATAATTCAAGCCCAATTTAACATGGTTAGCTTTTGTGGCATCATATTGGAGATTCATCTATATTTAAACATTTCAGTTGTTTTACATATGTATCAATAATAATGATCTTAGGAAAAGGTGGTGCCATCTTGTGGACAATACTAAGAACTGCTAAAATTTTTTTTAAAGAAAAAAAGGAGTAACAGATCAGTATCTGCATTTAACACTGAATCAACTGAATTTATAGACATGTATTATGTGCCATAAGAAGCTAGTCACAAATTCCTTTTTTATTGCTATTTATTATTATTTTGATTGCTATCTATTAGTAATTACTGTGTTACTTGGAGTTGTTTATACAGGCCTGTTTATTTTCCAACACCAAAGTAATCCGGCATTTTTCCAACAATCCCATTTATTTCGCTCAGCTGTAGAATGATCAGAAAAACACCCAAGAGCTTCCAAGCCGCATTTAAGCAGCACCTGTGTGTGTGTGTGTGTGTGTGTGTGTGTGTGTGTCTGTATGCTCCTCTCGGTATCTGTTCATCTCTGGTTTTCTTCTGAGCCCGAACCAAACGTGTTTTGCTTCTGTCCCACATGCAGGCACGCTCACACACATACTCCTATCTGCAACATTAGCCGGCTCCAGCCAAGCTCCCTGCCCACACAGTTCTCATTCCTGCCTCAATCCAGAGGCTTTGTTTCAGCATTGGTTTTGGTTTAAGGCCTCTTGTTCCTTACAATTAACTCAGTGGAAAAAGGCTGTTAAATTGGCCAGATTCAAAATAGCATAACCCCATCATTAGCAGAAATATCAAAGCTCACATGCTGACAGCGTGAACCAAAACTGTTTGGTGACTTCTCCCCATTAAAGCTGTGGCTCATGGAACTGTAATCTGTCCCCTGCTCTGAGACCCTGTATGCCAAGTGCTAGTAAGGTTATTCTGCACTCTGCTGCATTCATTTATATTGAGTAAAGGCAAATGCTTTTAAAGTCTTGCTGGATTTGAAATGGATAGTCTATCTGGGAAGGAGCTGCAAGTCTTTACATGTTTGCATCAGTTGCTTCCTTTGTGAAAGTTTACTGTTTTTGTTTCAGTAAAACTTGAAAAGTTTTGTTTGACCTTTATAAACATTTAAGATCCTCGGAATCCCTTGTGAGAATAGAGATTTTGTGCAGGGTTTTATGCAGAAATTCCCTTACTTTATTTGATGTGCACAAATTCTGCTGTTCTTTACAGTGCCAGTAAAATAAGAAATAGAACAGAAATCTGTGTAATTTTACTAAAGAGATATAATAGAATGCTGGTCTTTAAGAAGATTCCTTTTCATGCAGTTTCAGCTTCCATGTAAAGGGAGGTAGCTCTATAAAATAATGATAACCATTTTCCTTGCCTTTGTATCTCCTGTGTGATTGATTTTGGTGTTTAAGAAAATGCAAGTTTCCACTGAAACTTTCCYCATGCTTGGGTCATTTGTAATAATTTTCTTTATGTGGATTCTCGAGTATGTACATGGACTATAATCTTTCTCTTACTGGACAAACTTAGAAGGTCTTTCATTCCTCTTCTACCTTAGCATATATTTTCATGAAACTTGTAAGTTTGCATTCTACTCTGAGAATTGTGCTTTGCTGTCAGACTTAGCTGAAACTATTATGGAGTGAAAAATTCTGAGAGTGGAAGACAAAAGGAACATGGTTATGCAAGCTTTGTGACGACAGAGAAGGTTGTCAAAAGTTTTCTCAGCATCACTGTGGTCAAGTGTTTGAAGTACTGACAAGTTTAGACTGCATGGACAAGGGTAAGAAACATCAGTTTAAATTCTCATGAATGTGAATCCAATTTTGAAATATGAAGGCCTCAGTTGTAAGCTTTTTAATTGGTACCATTGTGCTAGATATCACAGAGCAAGCTCAACAACCACAGGCCTTTCAGATGACCTTTAAATGTCAATGTATCCCATGATTGCTGGCATGCATCTGCTTTTTGGTGTACACTCATTCTTTAAAAAAAGAAGATACGGGTTTGGTTTTGGAAGAATGGGCTCAATACCTCAGAAGGCCATAAATTTGCTAATTTATTGCAAAGATATTATGTTTACTGCACTATGACATCTTTTGGCATCAGTGTACATGGAAAAAGGGAAAATGATTACTCCTAGATTCATGAATTTTTGCTGTTGTGCCTGGTTCCTCTAATTTTATTAGGCAATCTTTGCCCACTATACAACTTTAATGAGATAACAAGATTGTTATATTAGGCTAGGCTTTCATTTCTGTTTTTAAAATAAGCATTTSTAGAATTAAAATCTGAACAGAAGTAAACAGAAATCAATCTCATCAACATTTGTAGGTTCTACTCTGGGATTTTTATATTCTCTGTGTCTCCATGAAACTCTCTGTTCTTTCTGATCCCTCCTGAGAGGGGGTTGGGTCTATCAATCATAGTGCCTTCCTCATCAACAGGATTCCCTGTAACTATTAGCCAGTAATTCTTATCTTCTTCAGCTTTATGGGAGTTCAGATAGGTGTGACAAACTACTTCATATTCCATGCCAAAGTAAGATCTGAAAAGTGAAAAAGAGAAAGAGTGTGAGGAGGTGAGAGAGAAATTACTATCCACCAAAATTAAATAAGTCTCTATTATCTGCAAATCACTCAAGGTTTTCTTATGCTTGTTTTAGCTTTTTCAGTGGCATCACTGTGCACTTTCAAACACCAGACTCTTAATAGAAACACCTGTAAAGATATCCCACTTTATTTCTTACTAGTAATGCCAATTTCTAGATCCAAAGCTGAAGAAGGTGCTGATACACTGAATCAGTATGAGCAMGCTGAATAAATTCTGTACGTCATTTCAGGTCATTTTTCTTTCTGACTGAGGAAAATTGTGCCTACTTAACCATTTCTACCTTGACTTACCAGATCTTGTTTCAGCATCAAATCCCTGATACAAGTTCTTACTGGAATCTTGCTTAGAACTTAATAGGAAACAATTGGTATGCTGCCTAACAGTGCTTAGTCAATACTAATTCAGTGCACGCATATTAACTTGATTTGTTGGTGTAGCTTTAGTTTATTGTGACAAAAGCAGCATCTGGTTTTATGTATTGTGTTTTTATTTAGTTCTCTTAATAATTACGCTACTTAGCATCCTGTTTTATCTTCAAAAATAATTGCTCAAGATATTCAAAAAGAAAAGTAGGAGAACAGRGAAGGCTGGAAACACAAGGTGACATAAATTACAAAGCAAAGAGGTGAATGAAACTGAGCTGATTGTCTGTATGGTCAGGATGGCACACACTACAGTCCAGGGATATAATGGGAGAAAGGAGAATGTGCATTCTGCATTCTTTTCCATTTCCTCGATGTGTAACTAAAGCAACGATGGTGTTTCTTACAGTAATTGTTGATGTATTGAGTTGGCACATCTTTATGCACGTCCCTGTCCATTATAAATTATTCTTACCTTATCCAAAAGTTCCTTGGAACAGCCAAGCTTCGATTAGTATGGCAATGAGTAATAATAACATTAGAGTTTGCCTGAGAAAAAGCAAAAGAAAAAAAAAAGGAAAGATGTGGCGCACTTTAAGTGTAACRTTAACTATTCTTAGTCAAATTAAATGCTTTTATTTACATATAATCAGCCTTAATGTAACTCTGCATTTTTTTGGTATTGTTCTGAGACTGCTATGCATTCATAGTGTGATATTTTACACCTTATTGGTTCTCAGGAAAACTGTCCTAACAGCTCAGACTAGCCAAATGCTTAGCCCTTGGATCAGACATGTTCTCCTGTCCAATATATTCCACTCCACTCCCTTGTGCTGGGCACTATAAGGAGGGGGAAAAAATGAAGGAAGAAGTGGAGAGTCTTTCCATGGTCTGTGCCATCAAGGTTGTTCCTCTTACACTGAATATTTGCCAGATGAGAGATCCATATGGTTTTGTGAAACGGTCTAGAATTTCATATTTTACCAATTTACAATTTTTAAATATAGCATAATTAATATTTAGTAAATCCATTTACTACTACTGTGGGGAAAAAAGTATTTGACAATTRCTTTATCTTAAACATGTATTTTAGAGAATTGGTTCTTTTATATGCGTCACAAATCAAGGTTGCAAAGGATCAGTTATAACTGTAATATTTTGCTATGCAAACAGCACTATGAAGAGCCTAGTGGCAGTGTGGAACAGGAAAATTCTACATCTGTTTAATGAATTTACAAAAGGTTAAAGAAAAAAAAAGGAAAAAATAACATTAGAAAAAGCAGTCAATTATTCCAATGCTTTATTTTTTGAGAGTCTTAAATTTAACATAAAGAAGACTTAAGCAATCATAGTACCTATCAGTGGAAATAAAATTCTGAGTGCTCAGAACTCCTGAAATTCAGATTTCAGGTGAAGTATCCTCAAAATGGGATGTCCAAAGTATATTTTTCTTTCCTACAATTATAGTTTGGATTTTACATAGGGAAAGATGTGAATAATATGAACACAAGTTTCTTATAAAGTCAGCTTGTGGTTTTTAATTGAATCTTCCTAACATTTTCTGGTTTTAATTTCTTACAGGAACTGGAAATCCTTCATTTTCAAGACGCAGTTGTGGATCCAGGAATGTTGCATGCCAGTGAGCCAAGTAGGAAAGTTCATCTGTCAAGAATACTTGCTGAAGGTAAGATTTTTTAGCAAATCTCAGAAATGATTTATGGTCACTTGCTAGATACAACTGTAAAAAAAAAAACATAAATTAAGAAAAGTATAAAAATATAGATGATTTTTAAAATATCAGTATAAGTCTGTCTGTTGTGAAAAAAAGAAATCAGTCTATCAAAATCAGGGTATACATTCAAAACCTCTAACTTGATGTTGTTGATAAAGTCATTAAGTAGCTTTTCTCAAACTAAACCAGTGATAACTGAACTTACATTCCAAAGATTCTCTGTCATTGTAGTGGTGGATGATAGAGAAAATTTTACTATACCTGTGATTTATTTCAAGTGCATACACAGCATATAATATCTTTTTCTAACTTATGAAGAGAAACATAGGTAAATAACAACTAAATGTATCTCCTCAGTGTATGCTACCATTTATAACTTGATTAACTTACCATTCGATCAGAAAACCCCCCTGTTGTCCCAAGAACAAACTTTTGCCCAAATCTAATGGGTTCATCCATTTCACTTCCATCAACACTGTTAGAATAGAAAAAAAAAAAAAAAAGATAAATTGAAGTATATCACTTTCCAGATAATTTTTGTGTTTAAATCTTGTGACATCACTTCATATTAAGTTTACTTTTTAACATATATAAAATATATCAACTGAAAAGGTGTTACATAGATCATTTACTGGTTAAAATATGTAACAAAATAGAAAGTTGAACTGTATTCATTACTATTTAAGATATATTAATTAATGTACAGGTTGGAAAGAAAACATCCCATGGAAAATCGATTGAAATTCAGTACCAAGTTCCTCTGAAAAATAATACGTATATCTCAAAAATCACAGACTAAAAGCGGAACAGTGATTTCCTGTAACTTCATGTATGTTACTATTAATACATGTAATAGATATTTAGTAGTTTGATTCCCTAGACAAGCATGTATGCTGGTACTTCCAGAATTCTTTCTGTATTTTACAATACAGAATCACCAAATTATATGCCAGCGTGTTCTGGATATATTCAGAGTCAAAACCTGTGCAGCCTGGAAATTGTGTAGTCAGGTAATGAGAGACGTYATGGCGCTTTGGTTGCAGTTCTAAAGGCCTGAATTGTACTCTTATCATCCAAATTCTCCATTAGGGTTAATTCAGTGTTCTATTGAATCAGGGTCAGTTTGAGCACTGTTACAATTCTTAAATATATGCATTCTGCTGTTGAGCAGCAGCCAGGAATTAAAGATGTCATTCAGAGAGATACGTTGTTTGTTCTTTTTAGGAGGGCAAAAGCACCATATGCTTCATGTTCAGCAAAAGCAGATACCAATTTTTGTTGCCAAATCCTCATTTGTAGGAGTCAGACATTTTTAAGGAATTACAGGAGCTACATATTCCAGTAATATATATGTAGTTCTTATTTCTAAGTGAGGATGGGACACGTTTTGTGTTCTGCACCTGAAATACCACTGCATTAAAAACGGCCTCCGAGCTTACCAAAAGATGCAGTGAACCTCCTTGGGACGGTGCACAGGAATATTCAGAAGAGAACCAGGCTTAAGGCGTAACTGGGATTAAAGAGTCTGTTTTAGGTTAATCCCACGCAAATTCATTTGCATATTAGCAAATTCCATATTGCTCAAAATAAAGCATGGATATCTAACGTAATTATTAAGAACAACCCTAAATAAGGTGCCAAACCTTAAGATACAGAAAGTATTTCGACTGACGGGGTCCGTGCTCTTGGCAGCACTGACTCCGCAGGGAGCGGGCAGCGATTCGGCCGAAAACATGGAGATCTCGTCCAGGTCCACGGCCAGGGCCAGCCTGCCGCGCACGCCGGCGGGCAGCTCCCTCGTGGGCTCGTTATTATCTGGGCTCAGCAGCATCACGGTGTCTCCAAAATGAACAAATCCATCCTTAGACCGTGACAACTTCACCTAATTGAATACATACACAATTTGTTATAGAATTACTTGAACTTCAAATCCTGAGTGCCAAAAACAAGGCGCTTGTGATGCATGGAGAATAGCAGTAAACCGCTGTGGAGCCACAGCAACCTGCCAGCGGCTGCTTTATGAGGTTACCTTCCTTAAGAGGTGTTCTTGGAGTTTCCCGCACTTCTGTATCAGGAGTTCCCCGCGCTCCCTCCTCCGCCGGAAATCCTCCAGGAGCTCCTGCTCGCCAACGACAGCGGGTAGACGTGTTAGCCCGCGCCCGCGCGCTCAGGTTCGCTCCGAGCCGGGACGCGCAGGGGAAGGGCCATGCGGGGAGCGGGGCATGGGCCTGAGCTGGGCTCCCCGGGCCGGCTCGGGGCCGGGGCCGCCCCGCACCTCGGCCAGCGCCGCGTCCTCGCTCCAGTTGCCCACGCGCACCCCGGCGCTGTAGGCGGCCATGGCCGCCCTGGCCTCCCTGAGTTGACGGTCACCATGGAGACCGTTCCAGCTGGCGATTGGACGCGCCCCCGCAGCGCGCACCAATGAGCGGGGCGGAGGAGGCGGGATTTTCCTCGAAGGCGGGAGGGAAGGGGGCAGCGGGCCGCCATGGCGGGTCGGGGCGGGGGTAGTGACGTCGTTGCTAAACAGGGCGAACATGTGAGGGACGCGCTTTAGTTGCGAGTCTTTCCGTTGCTGATTTATTTATTTATGCTAGGTTAAGTGAATTTGTTCTACGTTTGCTTTAAAGATAGTCTAAACCAGCTTATTGCAGGGAGGATGTAGATCGTTGCACAGAGCATTTAACCCCTTTATGACACGTGTATTTGTTCTTGCAAGCTAAGTATTGCAAGCAGGTTTTGTACTTTGAGTAATTCATAAAACTTCAAAGAAAATGATTTTTGTGTGAGCAATTGGGGATCATGTTATCAGCCAAAGTTTGGACAGTTGTTTGACATGAAACCTGGCAGTTTTGCATTTGTGCCAAAAGTTACTAGGCAAAAAAAGCTGTTCAGTATAACTCAAAAGCTTAAAAGACATTTTTGTTCTAATAGCTCCACACAGTGGCCAGTTGATGTAAAATCATTTTTCCTGTGCTCAGCTGTATTAGAAACGATAGGGAAATCTAAGCATTCTATTTCTCAAGTGTTTAGAAATAGGCAGGAAATAGGCAGGCCTAAGAGTCAGGCTTGTGTTGGGCCTAATCCCAGCACGGTTTGAAAGTATCAGATGTGACCTGAAGCCTGCAGGATTTGCCTTCCATGAGCATTAACTCATTTTCTCTGTTCCTGGTACTCTCTGCTTAGCACTTCAACCAAACAACTTGAACCAAGTTATGCTCGTGTCTTTCAAAGAACTGTAGATATAATTAGGTTGACTTGCTAATGCTTTGTGTTCCTTTATGTACTTGTATGCAAATACTAATGTGGGTTTATCCACTGTAGTTACTGCTGCATTATATATTAGAATTTTCAAGATTTGCTTCACTTATCTGACTATGCACTAAGTAGTTTCAAATCTTGTCTTTTTTTTTCAAAATAAAGCCACTTTTTATTAAATATATACTAACAGATCAACATTATACAAGTATATATTATCATGGGCCATATTATTAAGAACATGGGCACTCTGTTTATGAAGATGTTGAACTATCCTATGAATGGCTACATAAATGGTAACTACATGCATCTCCTCAGTGTATGTTACCATCTACATTTGCCATTTTATTGACTTAACCATTTGATCAGGCATCTCTCCAACTGCTCCTAGACCAAACTGTTCCCATATCTAATGCATTTACTCATTTCACCTTCAACAAAAGCTATGTTTGTGAAAGAACTGATGAAAGGTTTGGTCTGCTAACTTATTCCAGCATGCAAATTCTTAACTTAAATATGTGTTGATTAACTGAAACCTGAATAATTCCCTATTTCTATTTCAGTCTTCATTTCATAGTCATCATTTTCAGTGTACTAGAGAAGACAGAACATGTATCACGGTAAAATGGTGACACTTGACTCCTCTCCTGCTGTTCTAGAGTCACAATTTTTTGTTTCCTTTTTTTTTTTTTCCCTCTTTTTTTTTTTTTTTNTAATAGAAGAGAACATGGTGTTTGAGAAGATCTTGAATAGCTTGTAGAGCTCTGCACAGTAGGTCTAGGCTATTAGCTTACATAGAATGTGACTGGACTGCTTAGGCCTTACAATTCAGTAAGATGTGAAGGAGAGCATATTTTTAAATACTTTTAATATACGAATGTGTTCATATGTGTTTACTTTTTTCCTGTTTTGTTTATCCTTTTGAAGAAAAATTGTTAATGCACCAATTTTGAATAGCAATATAGACTAAATAATACTGCACAGAAGTAAAACTTAGGTTCTGCAGGACCATTTGTCTCCTTTCATTTTACTATTCCACACTAGCATTGTTCTGACACAGGCTATAAATCAGAATATAGCTATACTTTGCTCTTATTAGTCTTCTGGCTATTAAAATGATTAATCTGATATTTAATAGTATAACTGCACTTTCTTATTCTGACCTATTCCCCGAGCAGTCATCTGTTCTTAGCACAAAAAGAATTAAGTAGCTTAAATGATAAGATTTAAGAACTGCTGTTCTCTCAGGCACTTGTACTGATATTTCCCATTTTGGTTATGAATTTCAATGTGGAGTTTCTGTGTAATGCTTGTTTGAGAGGAGCAAGCAACCGATTACTTGGTAATTTCTGAAATGACTTCAGTCTACCTCTTAAAAGAAAGTCGTGCAAGATACTTATGTGCAGTATTGGCAGTATGTTGATGTACATAAGCAGCACACTTGTCAAGGTAACAAATGTAAATTTTCCCAATGCAAATCTAGCTGAAGACATGCGTTGCTTTGTTGCTTTTTTGATGCTTAATGGTCAAAAGATGCTGTTAGAGAAGGAACGGAAGAGGAAATCATTTCCAACGTTTGTAAAACTGACGGTTACTTACCAGGTAAAATATGAGTTGAATTATCCAGATCTTCATGGTATTTTCTTTCTAAAAAGCCTGTAATTTAGACCTGTAAAAATAATCTGCTTTAGAGAAATTAATTTAAAAGGGAATATTTTCACTTCAGATTGAGTTACCGGTCATGACCTGTCATCCTAGCTATTGACATTTTTCACCTCTTTGCCTGGCTGAATCTTTCAGAAAGTGCATTTGAAAAACCCTTTGAGCTCTGAATCTCTCAGAAAAAAGTTGTAATTTGGGGAGCAGTAACTTAAAAAATATATGTGGAAATATTAAAGTATGCCTACAAGGACCATTGGTGTGCTCTGCAGAGAGATGAGCTTTACCTCTGTAAAAGCTAGCGTGTCTAAAGCAAATAGAATATGTCTATCAGCGTGAACCGGATAGCTTTGGTGAGGAACAGTGTGTTTATTAGCCCAACACACCTGTATAAGAAGAGCTGCTTCTTATGCTCTAATTTCTGTCTTTATGCAGCACTGCCTACTACATACATCTACCCTGAAGTAATTTAAAAATTGTGACTTTCCAAGGTGTGCAGGAGGTGTCCAAGGCATCATTAGCAGAATGATGTTAATGCTAGAGGCTGGTCATACTACTAGCTGGGTGTAAAGTTTCTGCTTAGTTTGTAGTCATTAATATACTTGGTTTGATCTTGAGCAGCTCATTTTAAGCACTAATTGCCAGGACTCTACTGAAGGGGACTTTGTGAAGTGATGTTCTGCTCCACTTAAATAAATTGAATGCATTGTGCTTAGTGAACTACAAAGTTCTGTCATCACCCACAGTCCCCGGGACCAAATGGCTGTGGCTGAGGCGTGGTCCTATTTATAAAGGCTGGAAATCAGGTCATTGTCTCTTTTGTTTACTAATCTGTTTAAACTTTGGTTTCCATGAGTACTCATGCTTGAGATTTTGAAATTTGCTTTTATGTTAGCATTTTTTTTTTGCCTATAGAAAGCAGTAGTATGAATGCTAGCAGAAAGGAAGCCCTAACATCCACAATTTTAGCTCTCTTTGATTTTTGACTTTTGGGGTTTGCTCAAACATAGTCATGTGCATGTGAACTGTGACTCTTGAAACTGAAAAACAACGTTTTTTGCATGACCTCTTGTGAACCCGGGCTGTTCTGTTTCTTCCCACTTCAGTGCTAACAATAGATACTGCTTAGGGTTGCCTTTGCTTCCCTGTTTAGTCTTGTCTACAGCACGATCTTTATCTTCTGCTATGAATTGCATGAATCTTTGCAGTGCTGTGTTGCTTCTCACCATGTGGATTTTATGTCTCTGTGATGCTAATGTTAAGACTGAAAACAAGCTATTCCTTTAGCTTTTCCACAGTGGAAATATCTATTTCACTCTGGAAGCAAAGCGGTGACATTTACAGCTAGCACTGGAGGTGCATGTCAGTGCATCCCCAAACCTTTGCTGCATTTTCCTATTGGAAATGATGTCCTCCCAGGCCCACATCAGAAGATTTAGAGATAAAGAAATGTTTTAGTGATAAAAATACTTCAATTTGCTTCAGAGGAATCTCTGTGTTACATAAAATGAGCTATTAAAAAGAAAGGGAAGAGAAACTGACCTATGTATTTATACCACAAACATGAATTAGTTAAATATTTCTGGCATAGCAAAAAGGAACATGAGGAGAATCTTTTGTCCTAAGGGGAAAAGAACATGTGTATTGTAATTGTTTTTAAAATTTTTCTGCCACCATTCTTCTATTTATGGTTTTGATTTGGATGACCTTATTCTGGCAGTGTATTTATATAGACATTGCAGGCTACAGAAGATATTTTATACATCTAAAGACCCTGGCAACTGCTCTAATTTGAGAGTTTGAATATTTCCGTATTTCCTTGTCACTACTGATTAGTAAATTAGCATTTCTTAGTTGGTAGCTTTTCTCTGAACTGTGTGAGAGAAATGGCATGTCATTATAATGTCGAGGACTCAAGGAACAGAGGGAGCATAAATAAAGTGATAAAATTGCTATACTCAAATGTTAAAATGATTCTTTAAATGTACGATGCATTTGCTAGTGCAAAATAAAAAGCTAGATCAGGAACATCCCAACTACTACTGGGGACTGACCAAAATCCTGCAATTACAAAATGAGAGAAAGAAAGAATTCCTATTGTAAGGAGGTGAGAAGGAAAGACGCTTTTTAACAACCAGGATGTCTTGCTGCAGAAAGGTGTAGATTGTTTGTGTCTCAAATGAC